TGTCGAGTGCCGAGACAGAACAGAGTAAAACACATTCCTGTCGAGTGCTGAGACAGAACAGAGTAAAACACATTCCTGTCGAGTGCCGAGAGAGAACAGAGTAAAACACATTCCTGTGCTTGTCTTTTGAATATGTAAGAAGAGTTATATAAATTGTTGTATTATCACAAGGCCCTGTGTGCTGTTTCTTTATCTCGGCTATAGACGTAGAGACCTGTGTGCTGTATTTCTTTATCTCGGCTATAGACATAGAGACCTGTGTGCTGTGTTACTCTATCTCAGCTATAGACACAGAGACCTGTGTGCTCTGTTTTTTTATCTCGGCTATAGACACAGAGACCTATGTTATATATTACTTTATTTCAGCTGTAGTCACAGAGACCTGTGTGCTGTATTTCTTTATCTCGGCTATAGACATAGAGACCTGTGTGCTGTGTTACTCTATCTCAGCTATAGACACAGAGACCTGTGTGCTGTGTTTTTTTATCTCGGCTATAGACACAGAGACCTATGTTATATATTACTTTATTTCGGCTGTAGTCACAGAGACCTGTGTACTTTGTTTCTTTATCTCGGCTATAGACACAGAGACCTGTGTACTGTGTTTCTTTATCTTGGCTGTAGACACAAGGACCTGTGTGCTGTATTTCTTTATCCTGGCTATAGACACAGAGACCTTTGTTATATATTACTTTATTTCGGCTGTAGTCACAGAGACCTGTGTACTGTGTTACTGTATCTCAGCTATAGGCACAAGGACCTGTGTGCTGTTTCTTTATCTTGGCTATAGACACAGAGACCTGTGTACTGTGTTTCTTTATCTTGGCTGTAGACACAGAGACCTGTGTGCTGTGTTACTGTATTTCAGCTATAGGCACAAGGACCTGTGTGCTGTTTCTTTATCTTGGCTATAAACACAGAGAACTGTGTACTGTGTTTCTTTATCTTGGCTATAGACACAGAGACCTATGTTATATATTACTTTATTTCGGCTGTAGTCACAGAGACCTGTGTACTGTGTTACTGTATCTCAGCTATAGGCACCGGACCTGTGTGCTGTTTCTTTATCTCGGCTAGAGACACAGAGACCTGTGTACTGTGTTTCTTTATCTTGGCTGTAGACACAGAGACCTGTGTGCTGTGTTACTGTATCTCAGCTATAGGCACCGGACCTGTGTGCTGTTTCTTTATCTCGGCTAGAGACACAGAGACCTGTGTACTGTGTTTCTTTATCTTGGCTGTAGACACAGAGACCTGTGTGCTGTGTTTCTTCATCTCGGCTATAGGCACCGGACCTGTGTGCTGTTTCTTTATCTTGGCTGTAGACACAGAGACCTGTGTGCTGTGTTACTGTATCTCAGCTATAGGCACAGAGACCTGTGTGCTGTTTCTTTGTCTTGGCTATAGACACAGAGACCTGTGTACTGTGTTTCTTTATCTTGGCTGTAGACACAGAGACCTGTGTGCTGTGTTTCTTTATCTTGGCTGTAGACACAGAGACCTGTGTGCTGTATTACTTGATCTCTGCTATAGGCACAAGGACCTGTGTGCTGTTTCTTTGTCTTGGCTATAGACACAGAGACCTGTGTACTGTGTTTCTTTATCTTGGCTGTAGACACAGAGACCTGTGTGCTGTGTTTCTTTATCTTGGCTGTAGACACAGAGACCTGTGTGCTGTGTTACTTGATCTCAGCTATAGGCACAAGGACCTGTGTGCTGTTTCTTTGTCTTGGCTATAGACACAGAGACCTGTGTGCTGTGTTTCTTTATCTTGGCTGTAGACACAGAGACCTGTGTGCTGTGTTTCTTTATCTTGGCTGTAGACACAGAGACCTGTGTGCTGTGTTACTTGATTTCAGCTATAGGCACCGGACCTGTGTGCTGTTTCTTTATCTCGGCTATAGACACAGAGACCTGTGTGCTGTGTTACTTTATCTCAGCTATAGACACAAGGACCTGTGTGCTGTGTTTCTTTATCTTGGCTGTAGACACAGAGACCTGTGTGCTGTGTTTCTTTATCTTGGCCGTAGACACAAGGACCTGTGTACTCTGTTACTTGACCTTTGCCTTACAGAGACAGGGACATGTGTTCTTTACTATTTGACCTTGACAGCAGCACAGGGACTTGTGTGCTGTGTTACTTGACCTCTGTGGTACAGACATAGGGACATTTGTGTTGTGTTATGTATCAGATAAGGATCAGGGTGGACCAATGTTATGCTTGTTTTGTACATGAAAATTGTCAATTAAAAAAGGGCTGTTACAAAGTAATTTTTGTTACAGAACAGCTGGGAAAAGATTGTTACAGAAACATAAACTCTTCACATACTGGTGCAACAAAAGTTTGATCCTTCTTAAACTTTGCAGCCTAATGCTGTTAATATGTGATAGTTTGATTGAGGCGGTGTGGCATTATGTCATCAATGTTGAAGATACATATTTCAGTCCATTTACAGTTCATTTTAAATTGTTCTATTAAATGAGAACAAAGTTGTTATTTCTACAAACCAATTCTGTCTGGTTATGTTTGAATCAAGTAAATTCTGCCAGATATATAGAACATTTTACCCTGAAGAGCTTTTATGTAACTGAAATGTACCATATGTGTACTTCATTCATTTTCTAAATATTTAAATAATTTTGAAAGATGTTTGAAGAAATGTTACTCTACATCTCGAGAGTAATTTAAACAAAGAAGCTCATTACCTGTTTTTTACTTACTTCTGACTTAAGTGTACTTAAGAACTATAAATAGAAAGTAGTACAGGCAAGTTTGAGTTCCGTCCTGGTCAAACACCTTACCAAAGCTGTTCCTGATTGGTAGACAGTCTAATATTGATAGTAAGATGATACACAGTAATCTTATATCTCAGCCTAAGGATATCCTAATAAGTAAAACTCATTCCGCGGTTAAACTTTTGTTCTGATGGTGATTTTGAAAGGTTTGATTTTAGAACCTAATTTAAAAGCAAAAAATCAGTATGTTGCCGCACAATTTTTTCAGAAACTGTCATTATAATAAGTGTAACTAATTTTACAAATGAATCTTTATTTTTATTGAATAACAGACAATCTTTGTTATATTCTATTGACTTTCAGAGTTATACTCAAGAGAAGTACTTAGCAATGAGAACGCATTGACTCCGTTAACTGAGTCATGCTGTCATTTACGCTGTCAAAAAAGTGAAATTTCTTCAAAATGTCGTAAAAAGTGCTCTTTTTCAGCTATAGAGAACTCGAAGCTGTATATTAGTTGTCTGTGAGCTTAAAGTTGTATAGTTGTCATCTCTTGAGATCCAAGCTGTGAAGTTGTCATGTCTTAGCATTGTGTAGTTGTCATCTCTTGAGATACAAGCTGTGAAGTTGTCATGTCTTAGCATTGTGTAGTTGTCATCTCTTGACATCCAAGCTGTGAAGTTGTCATGTCTTGTGATCTAAGCTGTGAAGTTGTCATGTCTTAGCATTGTCTAGTTGTCATCTCTTTAGATCCAAGCTGTGAAGTCCATAAGGTATAGCACATGGAACCTTCCTTTTTGCCATGATATGTTCCAGGGTGCAGAAAGTGATTTTGAATGTAACATCTTGAGTATCGATGGTGAACTCTAAGCTGTATAGTTGTCAACTCTGAGCTCTAAGCTGTATAATTGTCAACTCTGAGCTCTAAGCTGTATAATTGTCAACTCTGAGCTCTAAGCTGTATAATTGTCAACTCTGAGCTCTAAGCTGTATAATTGTCAACACTGAGCTCTAAGCTGTATAATTGTCAACACTGAGCTTAAAGCTGTACAGGTATCATCTCTGAGCTCTGAGCAGTATAGTTGTCAACACTGAGCTCTAAGCTGTATAGTTGTCAACACTTAGCTCTAAGCTGTCTAGTTGTCAGCTCTGATCTCTAAGCTGTGTACATTTGTATGTATGTGACTTTGATCCCCACAACCTGTTGGGTGTGCAGGAAGTGGTTGAGAAGGAAGTGTCAGGCTGTTTACAGTAGAAGATATAAAGTATACACACACTGACACATTGTTGCTATGTGAGGATGTATTCCTGGCAGCTGACAGGAAAACAAGTGTTGTTATAGACGGTTAATTAGACAATGGAGTAGGTATCTCCTCTCTCACCATTGTTATATTGTATTTACATCACTTTCTCTGTGTTTTACATCACTTTCTCTGTGTTTTACACCACTTTCTCTCTGTGTTTTACATCACTTTCTCTTTGTGTTTTACATCACTTTCTCTGTGTTTTACACCACTTTCTCTTTGTGTTTTACACCACTTTCTCTCTGTGTTTTACATCACTTTCTCTTTGTTTATGATAATTAATGTATCTTATCTGCATTGACATTTAAAATTTACTTCATGGTCTTTATTTTTTATTGCAATATTAAATCATTGTCTGACCGATGGTTTAGAATTGCTGTACAGTTAATCTCAGGAAATGCTAGGTACTGATGTTCATTGGTTCGGTGTTAATACCTTAAGATGATTTGAACAGTTGATGTGTCCTGGTGTGTGAAATATGTCTGTCTTCCAGTCCAATAACAAAACTGTAGGATACATCCAAACACATTGACTTTGATATTTCTACACATCTATAATAATAACATGCATTCATTTGTTAACTAGCTGTGTAATAGAAAGGTCTAATATTCAGCCCAGCTGGGGCTCTGAAGTCTACAGCTGACACACCATTTATCTGAAGAGAAATTCCAACTAGCCAAGGATAAGGTGACCTGTACTTTTCAATATTTCCTCCTCTAACCCCTGAAATATGTAATAGAAAGGAGAAATGTAAGGCACACTCTGCCCTCACTGTGGCTCAAATTAGCGACTTTCCAATCTGTAACACGACACCCTACTACCTATCTATCTGTAAACTCCAGCGAGTCAAGGCTACCTGTATATTAGTTTATTGTTTCTCAACCTGTTGTTTGTTTAACACACTACTTAGTATGACAGACTAGTGACGATTTTCATTTAGCATACTACTTTGTATTACAGACCAGTGATGGCCTCCGGACCACCAAACTACAAAGTGATTCTGTGTGGGGAATACGGAGTAGGAAAGAGTTCTATATTCCGGAGGTTCATGAATGACACATTCACAACAGAAACAGGAAAGAAGTCCACTGTTGGGCTGGATCAGAGTAGCCAGTTATTCAATATCAATGGAATGGATGTGAAAGTAAGTAGACATTAATTACTGGACACTTAACAGTACTACCCAAATAAACCATCCTGATAACAGCTGTTATTTTGTCATGTTCGTTGGAGAATCGGGTAAGACATCTTATTGTAAACCCTCCCTCAACTCCAAGGAAAGGAAACTGTCGAACATTCCCAAACACTTTCAGTTATCTATAACTTATATAAATTCATTTTCAATGTACTTTTAGATCTTTCTGATATGCCCTTAAAAAGAAACCTTTTCAGAAACATGAATATGTTGTGCTTGATACAGATAAGGTAAAGAGGAGGTGATGAGTCTTTTCGAGCGTTACATATTAAATAATAACGCTGTGATACTGTGGTGTGTAGGTGTTGCAGACGTCTAGATGTTGATTTTGTGAATGTGACTGTGAAACCTTGATCACAATGACCTATTTAATTGATCAGTACAGTCTGTTGTTGAGTGTTCATACTTTTGTATGTTTGTATTAAAAATGACTTTGTGTAAAGTAGTAAATACAAGCATCAGCGATTTTTTTTTCAATAATTCACAATTTAATATTAGCTGTTATTGCCATAACTCAAAATGTGTTTTATTTTTAGAAAGAGACAATAAAATTAGAATTATCGTTTTATGAATGGTATTGTGTGTGTGTATATTTCATGTTAAAATGCAGACATAAATGCTGTAAAATTGGGCAGGAAAATATAGTTTATGTAAGCATTACTTCGCTTATATAAGTAGGTAACCGTAACAGGTTATTAAAGCTTTCATGTTAATGTTGACAATATACACACACCTCACAACAAAGGAACTATTACATAATAACTCCTTTGATAGGTGTTTCTACATTTTATAGCTAATAACATTGTTCAGTTCATACCTGTGGAGACTTATCTCTAAAAGTAATCTTCATGCATATTTTCATGTAGATGTGTTCATGTTTTATTGCTGTTTATTGATATGATGATACTCGTGATGAAATATCACTCCTTTCTGTATAAATACACCAGTAATTGAGACAGGAAACGTATAATGTATTCTAAAATAATTGGCCTACATTTGTGGTCTGTCCGTTGTCCGTCCGTCCATCTGTAAACAGATTTTGATATGGCTATTACTTGAGAACTACTGCATAGATCTTTCTCAAATTTCATACATAGATTTCCCTGTGTTCTTAATTGTGCCTTTTGATTTGGGGGCTTTTCAGAAAAATGTGGCTTCAGGCCACCATCTTGGATTTGGCTGTTTAAGATAATTATTGCTATTTTTGCAAAGAAATGTTCAAATTTCTTGTCATTGAGAGAAAAAACAAAGATAAAAGAAAGGAAAAGATCCAGTTTTTAAGAATAAATAAAGATCAAACAATGGTGGGCACCAAGATCCCTCTAGGATCTCTTGTAAACAAGTTTTGAGTATAAGATTGCAGCCTGCAGGAGCTTTATACAGGGTGAATTTCCTTCCTCCTTTGTACTGTACAATGTATCAGATGTTTGTATACTTGACTAAACTGGAAATAATCCATCATGACAAGATAAACACAAATAATCACTTCTAATAAAACTAGATAGTAATATCAGGTAAAAAATCTGACCTGATTAAAGATACTTGTTCCTCCCATTGGGATATAATTATACAGCATTAAGTAAGTAATTAATTACAGATTATAACTCACACAGATCTCATAGAAAGTCTGTTACAGCAGCTGGTCTGTCAGCTTTAAGGATTCTTGTCTCATCATTTGAGCTGTCAGGTTTAAAGATTCCCACCCTGTCAGCTGGTTAGCATATCAATGAGATAATTACTTCCAGGCCTGGTCTCAGCAATATAACCCTCAGTACTGATTTATATCTTGTCTAAGGGTTCATCAAGTTTCATCTAGCTTCTTCATAACACTGTGATGTATAGCAGTAATAAAAGTATCACCTGTATGGACTCTGCTTCTACAGTGTTACATATAAATCTTGTATACTGTAATACTGTGAAATTATTATGTTCAGATCAGCCTTAGAACCTTGACCCTCACCACTGAAGCTAGCTACCTGGAAATTTAGTCCCCTGTTTCCGTCTGACTACCTGAACAATTTCCACTTAACTAACATCAATAATTAGGCAATTGTTTGTTTACATATATCAAAACAATCCCATGTCTGTTTTGACAGAGTGATTGCCCTTTTTATACCCAAACATTATGATTTTACGAACATGTTTTCATTGATGTTTTTTTAATCAATTTATCAGAATTGTGTTAGGTTGAAACATCTGCCATGAATTCTGTTTTCACAATGTTATAAGATTACAATGAAATCTTTCATCTCTGTTTAATTTTGTGTTTGTACAGATGTCATTGTGGGATACTGGTGGTATGGAGAGAATGAGTTTCATTGGTTCCAGTTATTACCGTGGGGCAAATGCTGCCCTGTTGTGTTATAGTGTGCTCAATAGAGACACCTTTACCATCCTGTCACAGTACATCTTAGACATTGTCATGAATGCAGAGGGAGCCAAAATATTCTTGTGTGGAAATATGGCAGACTGCGATGGAGAGGACAAAGTCACGGAGGCCGACATTGAAAACTTTATTCGTGAATGTGGTGATGTGCTGTCGGGTGTATATTCCATATCCTGTAAGGAAAATGAAGGAGTTTATGACATGTTCAAAGACATGGCTCGTGTGCTGCATGAGGAAGCCATGGGCCGCATGACATTACGAAAGGAGTTACATGTGATCAGACCAGGGGAAACACCGGAGGAAACGAATCATCACAAGAAAAAATGTTGTAGCTCTTGATAGGGGTGTCTTAATCATATCATACAAATTTACGTAAAGGAGATATATTTCATACAGGCTAATTGTGCCTTTGTGTAATCGATCAGGACTCCGAGTGCCTTTCAGTGTAGGTGTGGATATTAACAACACCAGCTGCCTAATGTCTATATACTGCAGCTAATTTTACATATGAGGATCAACTTTAAAGTGAAGTATTCATCACATATCTTCTTGAAAAACCACTTGGTTAATTAGATTTTAATTAATGTGTGGGGTTTATAAATAGATTGAAGTAAAGTTTTCTGAAATTGAATTTACACTCTTTAGTTCTAAAATTTGAAAAATATCCTTTGAAGTATGCAAGTGTTAACTTTCAATTTGTTGCTGTTAAAGAGATGGACCTGGTGTGTCCAATCAAAGTCCATTTTTAAAGCGATTTTCTGATGTTTTTTGTTTCATGATCATCAGTAATACCATACTTGTCCAGCAATAAGCCCATGTCTGTTAATAAGCCCACCCATGTCTGTTACAGTTTGATAAGAAACTTACAATCAGCCCAATTCTCTACTTTGAGTTAGGTATTGGCCCCACAGGCCTATTTTCAGGGTAAACACAATGATCGACCTTTCCTGTTCTGTATGACCTTTACATTGTATCAATAAGGACTTGTATGGTGCTGAGGATTTTCAGAGCTCAAATTTCTGTACATCATTTATGTCATTTAGATAAATTTGTAATTTTATTTCAGGATCACTGATATTAAGCTGCAGAACAGTTGCCTGTAATATATTCCATGTCTTGTATAGTTATCTATAGGTTATAACATTAATATAGAGATATATTCCAATCCTTAAATGATATTGTTTCATGTCAACATGATGAAAAGAAAACTTTTAAAAGTTATGTTAAATCTGGCATAAGTACGTCCCCCGTCCTCCAACACGTTTGTTCCTATAATCACCCCGACACACAAGTCTGACCCCAAATCATGCTGGACCAACTTTGTTCCTATAATCACCCCAACACACAAGTCTGACCCCAGATCATGCTGGACCAACTTTGTTCCTATAATCACCCCAACACACAAGTCTGACCCCAAATCATGCTGGACCAATTTGTTCCTATAATCACCCCAACACACAAGTCTGACCCCAAATCATGCTGGACCAACTTTGTTCCTATAATCACCCCAACACACAAGTCTGCCCCCAAATCATGCTGGACCAACTTTGTTCCTATAATCAGCCCGACACATAAGTCTGACCCCAAATCATGCTGGACCAACTTTGTTCCTATAATCACCCCGACACACAAGTCTGACCCCAAATCATGCTGGACCAACTTTGTTCCCTATAATCACCCCGACACACAAGTCTGACCCCAAATCATGCTGGACCAACTTTGTTCCCTATAATCACCCCGACACACAAGTCTGACCCCAAATCATGCTGGACCAACTTTGTTCCCTATAATCACCCCGACACACAAGTCTGACCCCAGATCATGCTGGACCAACTTTGTTCCTATAATCACCCCAACACACAAGTCTGACCCCAAATCATGCTGGACCAACTTTGTTCCTATAATCACCCCAACACACAAGTCTGACCCCAAATCATGCTGGACCAACTTTGTTCCTATAATCACCCCGACACATAAGTCTTGACCCCAATCATGCTGGACCAATATTATTGCCTGAATTTTTTAAACATACAAGTCGTAAATGATGTTGTTTATTACCATGTTTTGTAGCTGTGTAATTATAATTGGTGACACTTTTTTTTATTCTATGATATTTCCTGTCACAACATCCTTATGTACCAGTATAACCAACATGTATTAGGGATACTGCTGTCTACTTGGGAGGTTTGTGTCTCCAGCCTGCTACAATCCTGGCAGACCAAACCTAGGTTCTCTGATGTATGATATTAATGATGAAAGATGTGATATTGTTATAGTTGTAGGAAAACTGAGCAGACTGAGGATAAACACAATCTACCACAATCTCAAAATGAGCATGACTGTGTACACATGTGTAGATCTGTCTCTGAAATTATTTCAAAACATATTCATGAAACCTAATGAAATATGAGTTTGAAATTGCATTTTAATCAGATGATAATTAACTGTGTTGTAGTAGAAATAAGTTGGCCTAAGCTCTGAACTTACTCAATGTTAATCCTATGGAAAATTAACTGCTGTTCAAAACTTACACGCAAAGTAAAACTTGCCACTGAAAAAAATCTATAAATTAGATGCTGTGGCAACTTTCTGCTGAAATAAGTATTAAAATTAGATGCTATGGACAACATACCACAGAAATAAGTATATAAGTTGGTACTGTGGACAACTTACTGCTGAAATAAGTATTTAAGTTACATGCTATGGACAACTTACTGCCGAAATTAGTATTTTGAAATAGATACTTTACAGAGTTTAACATTAATGGTGGACTGTTAGATTAAGTCTTAGGTGTGGGCTGAAACAAGTACTCAAATTAGATGCAAATTACAAATTGCTACTTAAATATGTTTTTGAATTAGATGCTTTAGAAAATGTAATGCTTTAATATAAAAAGCACATGCTATGGACAAATTATCAACAAATAAACATTGTAAGTGTAGATGTTAAATGCTTCTGATATTTCATCTTGCAGTAAGAATAAAGGTTATTAAGAGTGTGTCAGTGTAATGATGTTTATAGCTATGTCAATGATGTCACTGACACTGAAAATGCAGGTCTGGCGCATTTTATGTCTGTTAAGGACAAGTACATCTCTTCAGCCTCTGCTCTCCTCAGATCAATATTGGATGGGTCCAGATCAGACAAGGATCAGTCTAACCAAAGACTCTGAGGGGAGATCAGGTTTCAACAACTTATAGATTAATGACAAACTCTGATTGATTGATGATGTCATTTCTTTGTTTTGTAATTTTTTGCCAGAACTTTGATGCTGCCCCCATTAGTAGCTGCAATGTGTCAGTGATTATCACTGTTTTATGGGTATTCTTATATGGCAATACTAACTGGCTGTCATTACTGATAAAAAATCTAAGGACAAATTGATGTAATTATCGTATAGTGGAATAATGATAGTTATGGTAAATATCTTTGAGTTTTGATGTCAAAAAAAGAACATGTACTGTGTGAGGTTTTTTTTACCCTAACTTTTTGCCTGGAGTTGAATTCACAATTTCAGTTGAAACCATATTAAGCCATCTCTGCTGCTAGTGATAATAATGCTTGTATAACCATGTTGTAAATGAAGGTACAAGCATATACTAATGGATGAAAAGGTGATGGTTAGCGATAAGTGTTAATGCAATATTATATTACCTGATTTGATTACATCTACCATACATTATGTAATACTTTCTGGTAATTATTGTATCCAGATGACAATTGTGAATACATGTAGATTTTTGTCTGGAGAAAATGAATAAAATTACAATTTAATCTGAAAACTTTGGATTATTTGTAACAAAAGCATGCTGAGATATACTAGCTTGCTTTCCATTTCTATTGTACAGAGATCATTTCTACTGATTTCACTTCAGTTGTAACATAACATCAGTTCATATCAGGTTCTTGTCATTAGAGACATTTCAGGGTCGGAAATGACAAATAAATGAACATATGTAGCAGGAAAGCAGAATGACTTGTAGAAATGTGTGAGAATGTTGAGTCAGAAACAAGTGGGGAGTGTATTGCTAAGTGGTAGATTACCACAAACAACACAGGAACAGGAAGTTCACAGTCCCAATGGTCGACCAACTCAAGTACTTCATTATGACAAAAGTTTCACAATATATTATACCAGACAAATAGAAGACTGTTGGTTATCAGTAGTATAGGAAAGATGTCATATACAAGGGATGTTGAAGGGTCAGACCTGATACAGCATGGGGCATCTCAGACATCATGTGGATGTTGAAGGGTCAGTACTATGACAACATGGGGCAACTCAGACATCATGTGGATGTTGAAGGGTCAGTACTGTGACAACATGGGGCAACTCAGACATCATGTGGATGTTGAAGGGCATCATGTGGATGACATCATGTGGAAAGGGTCAGTGCTGTTATGACAACATGGGGCAACTCAGACATCATGTGGATGTTGAAGGGTCAGTACTGTGACAACATGGGGCAACTCGGGCATCATGTGGATGGTAAAGGGTCAGTGCTGTTATAACATGGGGCTACTCGGGCATCATGTGGATGGTGAAAGTCAGTACTGTGACAGCATGGGGTGACTCAGGCATCATATGGATGTTGAAGGGTCAGTACTGTTACAGCATGGGGCGACTCGGGCATCATGTGGATGTTGAAGGGTCAGTACTGTTATAACATGGGGCGACTCGGGCATCATGTGGATGGTAAAGGGTCAGTGCTGTTATAACATGGGGCTACTCGGGCATCATGTGGATGGTGAAAGTCAGTACTGTGACAGCATGGGGTGACTCGGGCATCATATGGATGTTGAAGGGTCAGTACTGTTATAGCATGGGGTGACTCAGGCATCATATGGATGTTGAAGGGTCAGTACTGTTACAGCATGGGGCGACTCGGGCATCATGTGGATGTTGAAGGGTCAGTGCTGTTACAGCATGGGGCGACTCAGGCATCATGTGGATGTTGAAGGGTCAGTACTAGACAACATGGGGCAACTCCGGTATCATGTGGATGGTGAAGGGTCAGTACTGGTATAGCATGGGGCGACTCGGGCATCATGGGGATGTTGAAGGGTAAGTACTGAGACAACATGGGGCGACTCAGGCATCATGTGGATGACTCAGTGGCAATGTGAGGAGAGTTCATTGACAACAAAGGGAGAACAGTGGACTGTGTAGTGAATTAATGGTTAACACCATCCCAATACTGGAGATGGGTTTGATAGAAACAAATAATGGTTAACCTTAAACTGATAGAATTTGAGGTGTTAGAATTGGAGCTCTCCTCAAAGCTGTCCCAATACTCCATGATAGGTTGGATGGGAACATATAACATTTGACCTTGACCTGTGTGAACTTCGGGTGTTAGAACAGGAGCTCTCCTCATTACTGTCCCAATACTCCATGATAGGTTTGATAGAAACAGATAATATTTGACCTTGACCTGAGCGAAGCTAGGGTGTAAGAGCTAGAGCTCTCCTCAGGGTTGCAGAACCCCAATACACTGTGACAGGTTTGAGGTGAAAACAGGAACTCTCCTCCAATGATGTATAAACAAACATCTGATTAGTCAGCAGTCTGACTGGTCTGTAATGACAGGGTTCCTGAAAGGTTGATAGTGACCTCTCCTCATCTAACAATTTCCTTCTACCTAGAGATTCATCACTGACACTAGTCATTGTATTGTGGAACATGTGACCTGTCTGACCTGTACAATAAGTAGATCTTATGGGAAACAGATTTTCTATCCGTAGCATAAACATCAGCCTGTATAGCTTACTGATCACATTTACACTGACACTTGTCTCCTGCTAGTATCAACATGGTTGGGGTAGGGTTACAGGATATAGCAGAAGATGAGGGTGTGGGGTGGGGGTAGGATAATAGGGTATGGGGTAGGGTTAGGCTCTGGGTGGGGGTAGGGTTAAGGTATGTGGTGGGAGTAGGGTTATAAGAGAATATTGTAGTTTGAGGGTGTGGCATGGGGATAGGCTTAGGGTATGTGGTGTGGGTAGGGTTATAGGGTATGGGGTAGGGTAAGGCTATGGAGTGGTGTTAGGTTATGTTGCTTTGATAGGGTTAGGGTATTGGGTGGAGTTACAAGTGTCAGATATTTTGGGCGAACTGTAGTGGGATTACAATCCAATGTCATGGCTTTTCAAGTTCAACGTAAACTGATATTTGAATATCTAAGGCAATTTGACCTCCACTCTGGGCTGTTTGTATGTCTCAGGAAAGAGTTCATGGACCTTCCCCTGTGCTGTATTGGATAGCACACACATGATGGGCCTGCTTCATGTTTTTATATCAGGAGTCTCTAACACTTTTGTGAGTTATATTCAGGATTACCTAAAAGTTCATGAGAAGTTGTCATGAGCCTCTAACAGATAAAGAAGTTATGCCAAGGAATCATTATTAGTTACCATGGTTATCCTGTAGACTAATTTTGCTACATGTAGACCTATATTTATGTCTCTGATATATTGATAACTTTACATCTTCACTGTAACGTATCCTAGGTACTTCTGTCAAGTAATAACCTCGGAGCACAGACTTTATGAAAAAGATTTCACAGGTCTTTTTAGTGAAAGAAAACATGTTTCGCTTGAAAGCCGCTATGACATTTGCCAGTATGGTAGATATATAAGATAGCTTTATCTAAGTAATCTAGAGGGTTTGTGTTTGTAATTCAAAGATACCACTATTCAGCAGTAATAACAGAAACTTTTCACATTGTCAACAATGATGATTTGCATAATTTCCGGTCGCATTTCCAACTGGACAAAACATTCCATGACTGAACCCTCCCTTCCAACTAGGATATATTGACAATCTAAATAAAATCTCTTACTTCACCTACTACTCCATACCTCGATAATGTAACCACTGGACTTAGACATTTATATCTACATCTGTAATGTAACAAGGCACAAGTAAATAGAAAGACCAGACTTTAATTATATTGATTTACTGGCATAAGGAGGGGAGGGGTATGTTTATAGGAAGGGTGAAGAACAGTGGTGAAGTATAATTATATGGAGGGTGTAGACAGTAGTGAGGGTATTAGGGACAGAGATTAAGTATAATTATATGAAGGGTATAGACATTGTTGAGGGTAGGAGGGAAGGAGATGAAGTATGATTATATGAAGGGTGTAGACAGTGGTGAGGGCATGAGGGACGGGGTGAAGTATAATTATATGAAGGGTGTAGACAGTAGTGAGGGCATGAGGGAAGGAAATGAAGTATAATTATATGAAGGGTGTAGATAGTGGTGAGGGCATGAGGGAAGGAAATGAAGTATAATTATATGAAGGGTATAGACAGTGGTGAGGGCATGAGGGAAGGAAATGAAGTATAATTATATGAAGGGTGTAGACAGTGGTGAGGGTATGAGGGACTGGGATGAAGTAAAATTATATGAAGGGTATAGACAGTGGTGAGGGCATGAGGGAAGTAGATAAAGTATAATTACATAAACAGTGTAAAGCAGTAGTGAAGGTGTGGGTTGGTTGTGAAAGGGTATGTTGGTACGGAAGGGTGAAATGGTAGTGAAGACAGGGGAGGAGGTATGTCTGTAAGGAAGTTTGAAGTGGTAGTGAGGATATTGTAGGGAGTATGTCTGTAGAGAGGATATTGTAGGGGGTATGTCTGTAGAGAGGGTAGAAGTGGTAGAGAGGATATTGTAGGGGGTATGTCTGTAGAGAGGGTAGAAGTGGTAGAGAGGATATTGTAGGGGGTATGTCTGTAGAGAGGGTAGAAGTGGTAGAGAGGATATTGTAGGGGGTATGTCTGTAGAGAGGATATTGTAGGGGGTATGTCTGTAGAGAGGATATTGTAGGGGGTATGTCTGTAGAGAGGATATTGTAGGGGGTATGTCTGTAGAGAGGATATTGTAGGGTGTATGTCTGTAGAGAGGGTAGAAGTGGTAGAGAGGATATTGTAGGGGGTATGTCTGTAGAGAGGATATTGTAGGGGGTATGTCTGTAGAGAGGATAGAAGAGGTAGTGAGGATATTGTAGGGGGTATGTCTGCAGAGAGGATATTGAGGATATTGTAGGGGGTATGTCTGTAGAGAGGATAGAAGTGGTAGTGAGGATATTGTAGGGAGTATGTCTGTAGAGAGGGTAGAAGTGGTAGTGAGGATATTGTAGGGGGTATGTCTGTAGAGAGGATATTGTAGGGGGTATGTCTGTAGAGAGGATATTGTAGGGGGTATGTCTGTAGAGAGGATATTGTAGGGGGTATGTCTGTAGAGAGGATATTGTAGGGGGTATGTCTGTAGAGAGGGTAGAAGTGGTAGTGAGGATATTGTAGGGGGTATGTCTGTAGAGAGGATATTGTAGGGGGTATGTCTGTAGAGAGGATATTGTAGGGGGTATGTCTGTAGAGAGGGTATTGTAGGGGGTATGTCTGTAGAGAGGATATTGTAGGGGGTATGTCTGTAGAGAGGATATTGTAGGGGGTATGTCTGTAGAGAGGATATTGTAGGGGGTATGTCTGTAGAGAGGATATTGTAGGATATTGTAGGGGGTATGTCTGTAGAGAGGATATTGTAGGGGGTATGTCTGTAGAGAGGATATTGTAGGGGGTATGTCTGTAGAGAGGATATTGTAGGGGGTATGTCTGTAGAGAGGATATTGTAGGGGGTATGTCTGTAGAGAGGATATTGTAGGGGGTATGTCTGTAGAGAGGATATTGTAGGGGGTATGTCTGTAGAGAGGATATTGTAGGGGGTATGTCTGTAGAGAGGATATTGTAGGGGGTATGTCTGTAGAGAGGAT